GATATACCAAAGCCGATGATGGAAGCTGTACACCTGTTTGCGAGCTAGGATGTCCGGAGCATAGCAGCTGCAGTGCACCAGGAGAATGTCAGTGTGCGGATGGGTATACCAAAGCCGATGATGGAAGCTGTACACCTGTTTGCGAGCTAGGATGTCCAGAGCACAGCAGCTGCAGTGCGCCAGGAGAATGTCAGTGTGCGGATGGGTATAACAAGGCCGATGATGGAGGCTGTCAGCCGATCTGCAGTCCGGCATGTCCGGATAATGGCAGCTGCGTGGAACCCAACCTGTGTATATGTAAGTCAGGCTACGTGCTCAGCCAAAATCACAGTGTGTGCGAGGCCCATTGTCCGGGGGGCTGTGCCAATTATGCCCGATGTGTGGCGCCCGGCCAATGCGAATGTTATCCTGGCTTTGAGATGTCCCCGACCGAGCAGGTGTGCCAGCCCAAGTGCAGCCAGGAGTGCCTGAATGGGCATTGCTTTGCGCCCGACAAGTGCGCCTGCAATGCTGGCTACTTGATGGGTCCCAATCAGATCTGCGAGCCGCAGTGCAGCTCGAGCTGTGTGCACGGCAAATGCATCGCGCCCAACCGCTGTGAGTGCGAGTCGGGCTATCGCTTTGCAGCCGACTCAGTGGACGTCTGCGAGCCCGTCTGTGAGCCAGCCTGCGGCGAGCAGGGCACCTGCCTGGCGCCACAGGTCTGCATCTGCCAGTTGGGCTACGAGCCGGTGTCGAAGGAGCTGCCCCATCTGTGCCGGCCCAGCTGCTCCACGGGCTGTGCGAACGGCAGCTGTGTGACGCCCGATGTGTGCGCCTGCAATGAGGGCTATGAGCCAGCGGACGGAGTGAATGCTTCGGCTGGCTGCCAGCTGCGGCTGGCCGGGACAAGCACAACGGAGCGCCAATTGGATGAACTGCAGCCTAAGGAGTCGGCCACAAATTGCAGCAGCAGCTGCAAGTGCTGGCGCGAGTGGACTCAAGTGGAGGAGGCTGGTATCAAGTGCCTCAACATTTGCCAGGACGAATATGACAAGCCCTGCCTAGATCTCTCTCTGTGCAGCTGCGACCAGGCAATGGATCAGCTGCTCTGCCCGGATGGCGAAAGCGGGCAGCAGCGGTTGGTCTGTCAAGTGACCACGTCCCGGAGCATTGATCAGCCAACCGAGCAGGATCCGGGCAAGGCGGCGCGCAATTCCAGAGAGGCGGCAGCTGGCACAGCCAAGTGGCCACTGGTGTTGGCCTGGTGCGCGGGTAGCTTCATCATTTTACTACTCCTAATCGTCGCCAGCCACGCGTACCTCAAGCATCGGCGCCAACAAGCCATCGAAACTGAAGAGGAATACAGCTATATCAACTGTGACAGAGATCTTTAAAAGTATTTCTGCTTTTTACAATACTTTGCGATTTATAAATAGCAATCCGTATACTAATCCGTTGAATTTAATTGTTTTCCAGCCTCTGGTTGCTAAATTAGTATTTGTTGTATTTACAAAAAGTAAATTAAAATCATGTAATATTTTTAAAAAGTAACATTTATTGATTTAAATAAAGCAAGTGATCATAGGATATTGTCTAGCTCTCTTTTAGACGGGCACACACATCGTGGACTGCTCGTGGTAGGTAAAACCGGGATCACAGATGCAACGATTGCGACTCACGCAGACTCCATTGTAGCATTTTCTGTGAAAGAGAATCAGATGAAACTTGGCTATGATATATAAAATCAAATATTAATGTTGGCCAAGTATATAAATATATTTTTGACTTTTTAATTTTTAATGTTTTAATCAAATAATTCTTTTAAATAATATTTTCTTCCTGTCCCATTCGTGTGCATGTATAAATAAATATTTTATATCAAATGACATAAATGAATAAAAAATGTATTTTATATATAATATATTCACTACATACATATATATTTATACATATTTTATATACTGCCAATACTCACTGATAGCAATCGCTCTGGCATACGCCATCCTTGAGTGTGTAGCCCGGCCCACAGTCGCACTCGTTGTTGTCCCGACAGATGCCGCCGATGCCGCAGTCCGGGTCGCAGACGGGCTGGCAGCCCTCGTTGGTGAGCTGGTAGCCCTTGGCACAGCTGCAGACCTCCGGTTCGGTGCAGTTGTGGCGCGGATTGTTGCCGCAGCCCGTGCTGCATATGGGCCGGCAGAAGCGACGCGTCTCGTCCAGCATGTAGCCCATGTCGCACTGGCAGCTCCCGTCCAGGTAGCATCTGCCGTTCTGGCAGCCGATGGGACAGGCGAACACGCAGTCGCCGTTGTCGTTGCGCACGAAGCCCTCGTAGCAGTCGCATTCGCCCGGCACGCGGCAGCCGCCGTTCTGGCAGCTGCAGATGGGCCGACACACGGTCACGCCCATCAGGCGGGTGGGCGTGTAGCCGGTGCAGCAGACCTCAATCGAGGTCAGTTTGTTGGCCACGTCCGTCTGAATGAGACTGGCCAAGGGATATTTGGATACAGCTTCAGAGCTACAAAGAGGAGAAACAATTAAATGAGGTACAGTGAATAATCATTAAAAGGAACACCGTTATTCAAAGAACTGATTGACTCTCGTTATTTATATATATTTATATGTCTATATAAAAAACTACAACAAATATGCTTTAAGGTATATTATTAAGCAGATATGATTATTGTTTGATTTTTATTTTATTAGCCTTATTTACCAGCTTATAAACAATTAGATTTCTTATATCAATTATTCAAAAACCTTGAAATATATACAATATATACCGTAAAAGCTCTATACTTTAAAGTCCTATACATTTTATAAATCTATTTTAATATAAAGCAAACAAAAATTATTGGAAATATCCACAGCAGTTGCTCTACTCTACTCTGTGATTAACTCAATTAATATTCGCTTGAGCGAGCGCTCACTGTACTCACGGCACCCATATGCGACACTTGTGTTGGTCGCGACTCGAGACGCCCTCGTGGGCGCGCAACAGATATTCACGCCTACGCGGCTGCTGTTGCTGGGCTGGCGTCTCGGCAAGGTCATAGTTGATGCCGCCTGGGCGCGGATAGAGCGTCTGTGCAGCCGACGCCTGTTGCTGCAGCTGCTGCTGCCTGTTGTTGTAGCGTCCGCCCCCGCCGCGCCTCGTGTCGTAGCGCATGGGCGCATCGTACTCCGAATAGCTGGGCACGTTTGCCCCAATGCGAGCCAGACCCAAGCCGAGCAGCACTATCAGAGCCAGCTGGGCATGCCTAAGTGTATGCATTGTAAGCCCCACTTGTATATTTTGTTTTGGTTTTCGTTGTTTGCAATCCACTTGCTAAATTCAAACTAAGTTCTCAAGTTTCGCTCGCGTGCTACTGCCCCAATAAATCACGGCGGACGGCTTATCAGTGGTGTTTGCTTTTGTTTTTGTTTTATTTGTTTTTTTTTTCGGACATTTTCTCAATATTATTTCAAGTCTTGCTCTCTGCTCATATTGTGAAATTAGTATTCCGAAAATGCTCTATATTTGTCTATCCAATCGATTTTTGTATTGATCGACTCAACATTTCTGGTTTGTAATATATTTATTTATTAATCGTAACATTACCATTTTAAAATTTGTTTTTAAATTAGATTTCATCAAAAGTTCAGTTGGCCAACAAAGAATAAAATTGTTGTTTTTATTACTTCTAATAAATATTTTGCTCAGCTCTGATATCATTTTCAGTTCTAAGCCGAATGAAAAAGTAGCTCTAAGGTAAATGAAGAAAATATTGCAAAAATATTAAAATCAATTGAATTAATTACTAATAAATTGTTAGTATGTTAGAAATGATCGAATAATTTATTTATTTATTATTATTATTTATTATTATTATTTATTATTTAATATTATTATTATACTTATTTTTTCTCGTTTTATAATAAGTAAAATACAATAGACGAATTCAACTTAATATTTTTATATATTTTTAAGTTTTTGTTTTTTTATATATATATTTACTTCAAAATTCTTCTTTAGCAAAGTTTAATATTACCCATACGCAACGTTGCAGCTGAAATATATTTTAAAATATTTATTACTAGTTTTCTCTTTTTCTCTCCTTACCACTAGCTCTATCCTTTTCTGCCTCACTATATCTCCCTAGTTTACTGGCTGGCTATCTCTCTTCGTCTGTATTTCTATCTCTTTCCTTCTCTACCTTTCTCTCTCTCTCTCATACTCTCCTGTGGCCTTTCTCTACTCAAATATTTTGTTGTTTACGTCTGGCTGAAGTACTCTTAATTTAAGCACTGCGCAGTCTCTTGCTAATATTTTTAATTGAAAGCTCGTTTGCTTATCGCCGCTTCCCTCGCAGCTGAGATTAAACGCTGACCCGTTTCTCCAATTGCTGCTGCTGCTGTTGCCGCTGTTGCTGCTGTTGCGACTGTTGCTGCTGCTGCTGCCACACAGTAAACAATTGAGACTTGAACGCAGCTGTGTCGCCAGCGCAATTCACTGCTTGGCATCGCAAACAGGAAACGAGGAAATCGGGAAATGCCTTCGACCAGGCTGCTGCGCACTGTCGCCCTGCAGGCATGCCTGCTGTTGATGTACATTTGTCTGCTGCAGGCGATCGAGCTGCAGCTGCACGAGCAACAGTTGCAGCAACAACTGCTCGATGAGCAGCTGCGCTTGCACCAGCAGCAACAGTTGCTGAAGCAACAGCGCGAACAGCAGCTTCAGCAGCGCCGCTACTCGTCAACCACATCTACCCGCAAACCCTATATCATACCGCAGGGCCTGTCCCTGCCCCAACGAGGCGTTTATCCAGAAAAATGCCTCCGGGAAGTGCCGTAAGTACAGCCAGAGATTAAAGTCGACCAAACGACATTATATTGTGAAATATTTGTGCGCTAAGCTACGCATTTGGTTAAATCTTAGGTTTGAAGATAAACTACATTCGATGTACTGAATTTCATGTTTTAGGAAGTATAAGTAGGAAGTGGAAGAATTTATGCAAATATCAATATTTACATTCCTGAATTGGACACTTAAGAGGTTTCTATCTCTAGAGGACAGTTTAAAGTTATCTGACTGCTAAACATTATGGGCGTAGCTTCAAGAGTTTATAGATAGTAGATACCTGTTTTTATTGTTCTGTTTTCAATATACATTTAAAAATTCATTGATTTTTGATACAATTGCAATCTCAATTATGAATATTTTATACATGTAGATTTAAATATATTTTAAAGATTTCAACAATATATTTTTCTGTTTATTGTAGAGCTGTTTTCTTTCAGTACGACAAAGAGCTAAAGATCGTGGGCAATAGCACGACCAATCCGTACTTCAATGTCATCGAGGTCTGCTGCAAGGGCTGGCGGCGATACGAGTACGATTGGTCCAGATGTGTGCCGGATTGTGGGGAACGTTGCAGGGAGAATGGCTTTTGCTTGCCAGGTGGCAGGTGCCAGTGCTTCTCGGACTTCGTGCTTAACTATCGCAACGAGTGCGTGCCCACCTGTCCGCTGGGCTGCCCGCATGGCCAGTGCTACTTGAACGGCACCTGTCGCTGTGAGCGAGGCTACGAGCTGGATGGCTCGAAGCGCTTCTGCCAGCCGCAGTGCAACACCACGTGCGGCCACAACGAGGTCTGCCTGGAGCCGGGCAAATGCGTCTGCGCCGAGGGCTATGCGCGTGGCCTCCGAGAGTCGAATGCCCTGGGCTGCCAGCCCATGTGCATACCCGACTGCGGCTATGGCCACTGCGTGGCACCCAATCAATGCGAATGCTTTCCGGGCTATCAGAAGCGCATGAATCGCAGCTCCTGCGAAATCAATTGCTATATGTGAGTATTGACTTGAGTAAATGGAATTTTAATGGGAATTATAATATATGTGATTGGAGAGATCATTTATGCATTTTAGATAAAGCGACAGGTATAGAAGGAAAATGTACAATAATTAAATGTAGTCTGAACTTTCTTTAGCAAATGTGCATTATTTTGTCTAGTTAAAGTTTCTCTCTAATGAGAGTTAGATTCAGCAAAAGATCAAAAACATGCTATTCAGCATATGTATGTCTGTTATATAATTAATATGTATATACCATTCAAAAGTGTATTATACTATATCACCTCGTCATACTAATATATATCAGAATAGATACCAGTCTTTGTTTGATATGTATTAAACTCCAATTTAGTTCTAAATTTTACTATAGTTAGTCTTCAATAAAACAACAATCTCTTTCAATTCCCCAATTATTAAATACTTATACCTATGCTTATTTTTTTAAATAATAATGCGATGATAATTGAAGCATCTCTGGTTCTATCAACTCTAAAGCTCACTCACTCTCCCTCACACCCTTTAGGCGCTGCGAGAACGGCTTCTGTGCGAACCAAACGACCTGCGTGTGCCAGAATGGATATCGGTACGATCACAACACGACCAGCTGCCTGCCGGACTGTGGGGACGACTGCCGTAACGGGGTCTGCGTCTCGCCGGGCAACTGTCGCTGTTTCAATGGCTATGTGCGGAATCGCGAGCGATGCGATGCGGTGTGCGATCGCGGCTGTGGCTTCTACGGCCGTTGCATAGCGCCAAATGTTTGCGGCTGTGCGATCGTTGCGGGCGCCGAGGAGAGCTATCAGCGGTGCGAGAACGGGTACTGCAATGCGGAAGGTCATTGCCGTTGCCTGGAGGGCAAGACGCGGTTCATAGACAAATGCATGTCGCCGGATACGGTGACCACCTACGCCTCCATCAATCCGCTGCGTGTGAATGCGTCGCTGATGCACGAGTTCCAGCTGCTGCTGGGCAGACACTTCATACTGGGCTCCCCCGGCATGCTAGAGGAGAACAGATGGTGGGACTAGCTACATATAAATAAATATATATGCATACATATGCGGAATAATACATATTATCTCAAAAACAAACATGTTTTTAATTTACATACGTATGTATGTATGTCTGCTCAAAGCGATGTCAAGCACAAAGAAATGCGCTATGAACGCTATCAGTAGGGCAGAGGCGTGGCTGTAGAGGGGCTCAGATGTATGTATGCCGTATTCCTTCTCCACACGTTCTCCTACGCCACTGCGCAAGTTCATCTATTTTAAGTGCACTCACACACACACACACACACATGTTGAATGAACCGTTCTTAAGCGATCTATAAAAACAGCTCTCAGACCGAGCGCAGCTCAGTTGCGCGCCTACCTTTAAGCCCATCGTAACAGTACTTTAAAGAGAGAGCGCGAGAGCGAGAGAGACAGAGAGGGAGAGGAACATGCACTCGAATAGCCTGATTATTGGTCTGCTGACTATCTGTCTGACTTCCGTCCAGGCACAATTTTGGAAGCAATCGACGAACGATTATCAGAGCTGGGAGCGTGAGACGATAGCGAATCGTGAACCGGGCATCTGCTACAGAACAGTATAGTACTTACAGACAGAGAATCAAATAAGTCTATCAATATCTTAATATGAATGATATGTATGTATACTTTGCAGTGTTCAAACTCTGAATCCTGAGCTCAGACAACGTCAGATGTCACATTGCTGTAAGGGCTATGCAGTACGTAAGACTTCCAACTCTGGTACTCTGCTCTGTGAGCCGATCTGCAATCCGGAATGCATTAACGGTGTGTGCGTCTCGCCTGGAAATTGTGAGTGCGGGCCTGGATACTCATTTCACTCGGAGAGTGAGCGACCATGTCGCAAATATGGGGAATAGAACTGAATAAATACTGGGAAATTGTCACAAAATTATGTATTTGAATTCAACTAACAAAGACTACATTTCAATTGAAAATTAAGGGTGCAGTGGAATTAAGAGTATCGTTAAGTTTAACTTAATTGTGGGGAAATAAAGGGAGGACCGATAGCTGCTTTATCCGACAGCCTACGAATAAAATCTAGAGTTAGAGGAAAAGAGCTTATTCGGATATCCCATCATTTCACGCACTACAATGGCGCTTATCCGATTGGTCCCCAGACAGTGTTTCGATGAGATGTGAAAGGTGAGTGTGGGGACTATTTGAAATGTGCAAGTATTAGTGCAGCTTATGTGTAGAAGTACGAATGATGAGTTAGTCTGTGTGCGTCTGCCTCATTAATCAGTTGCACATCGCACGAGCGTCTAATCAAATACCTAGGTGTAATTGAACTAATATCAACTTTATACTTGTAAGCTTACAAAGTAAGGACAGAAATGCATTTTATTTATTTTATATATGTTATGTGTTGTATTATATGTGATATATATTATATTTATTTGGGGAAATACATATATTCTTTTGTGCTATTAGCTCATATGACAAAAAGCTGCCGAGATGTAAATGTAATTACAGCTCAATTATAATACAAATTTGCAAGTAAATATATATAAGTAATAAAATATAAGCTGCAGCTAGTCAAATTAATCATAATTTTATCTTTGAGAAAAACACATTTGAATGTAAAATAATATTAATTGAAATCTAAATGCACGCACACACAGCCCCATGTTAGAGTATACAAAGGTGTATTTATTCTAATATGGACGCTCTCTGCTGGGTATGCATTAAAGTATGATTGGATCATTGCCTTTACAGTTTGAGAGTCATTGCTTTTGGAATAGCATTCAAATGAGCACTTTAATTATAATATGAGCAAATCATAAGACGTTCACAGCGTAGCAGGCAGTCGGTGGTACTCGCTCTATTTTGTTAATTGATTATCTCATTTGCTGAGATCAGACAATAATTTCTGAGAATTACCCACAAAATATGTATACTCAAAAATAAATCAAATACAAATAAAATATAACAACAAAAACAATAACGTGCTGCCAGATGTGAGAGTCTCAGTCGAGGTTATTGATAGGCGCATTGCTGCTGATTAAAAGGGAAGTCGGAGGGGATCAAAGTTTGCCGGCGGGAGGCGATTTGCGAACCATTAGAAAACGAGCTCGAAAAACTTTTTACTCGGCGATTAGTTAAAGTGCAGCAGTCTTAGAGAACGGACGCGTGAGTGCAGTTAGTTCCCCCAGCTACATCGACTACAGCTTGACATTCAGTGTGTGACGTCATCGATCATGAGCTCATCTTTGCAGCTGTTCAGCCTCGCTGCTGCCCTGCTGCTGCTGTCTCTTTGCGGTGGCGCCGATGCCCAGTACAAGACGGCGGGCATCAAGACCCGTCAGCCTGTACAGGTTGCCGGCAATCTACAGCTATACGGCAATGCCAGCAGCGAGTACAACCAAACCCAGTACCAGACCCAAACCCAGACTCAAACTGTATATGGCACCAATAGCAACTATGCCCATTTCCTGCCCGCCGAGACATATCAAGGAGCATCGGGACATTATGTTCAGCCGCTCAATCAGGTGCATCGTGCGCCACAGATCCTGGACGAGACGGCGCTGTTCATTAACAAGACCCGCTCGGCTATGGCCAGCGGCATTTGCTATAAAGAAGTGCCGTAAGTCTATATAAGGGGCAGGGTAGGGATAAACCAATAGACCAAGTGACTTAAATTACAAAAATATGAACATTTGTTGTGCTACCAGATATTCATAGTTACTTTAACTAATAAATATATTTATTAGTTTCAGTAATAATTTCAACAACATAAATGTATAGGAAAAAGCAAAAGTTCAAATTTTATACGAATTTAAATATTTTATAGTGTATTATATTTATTAATTATTCATACAATAATAATTAACATCAGTATATTCCTTCGTTTATGATAGTCCCCCTTATTGAAATCTAAGATGTTATCTCTACGTGAATTTCCCTTGCATAAGCTGGAAATTATTATCGCGCAATTTAGAGTAATTGAAAACAGGGCAGCTACGCATTGAACTAACAACCTCGACATCCTCTTGACTTGCCTGATAGTGAAATGTGATTTCAAATTTATTTGATATACGTACTTATAGAATTTGTATACTTAGTTAGCTGCCATATATTTGTTTATGTGATATTTAAAGAAAAACAAGCGCAGGGACCTTGAGAAATGAGGAAAACGAATACAAATATATTTTATTTAAATACATTTATAAGAATAATAGTATTAAGCATAAATATTTGTAGATTATATCAATATATTAACTTATTATTATCTCTCATCTCTTAAATGTTTATATATTTCTTTTCCTTCGCAGCACTGCATCTTTGTTGCATGGCTCGCGGGAAAAGTATGTTGGCAATGGCACCTCGCCGGATCTGAGTCAAATTCAGGTTTGCTGCGAGGGCTACGAGCGCAATCCCCATGTCTATAAACGATGCGATCCCATCTGCGTGGACGACTGCCCCAATGGCATTTGCACAGCTCCCAATACTTGCGTTTGCATGCCCGGACATGTGCGAACGGACGAGGGCAAATGCATCTCCACCTGCCCGCTGGGCTGCGGCAATGGTGTGTGCGACGAACAGAACGAGTGCCGATGCCGCGAGGGCTACAAACTGGATCCGGTTAGCCGCAAGTACTGCCAGCCAGAGTGCAATCCCGGCTGTGGCAACGGCCGCTGTGTGGCGCCCAACAAATGTGACTGCCTGCAAGGCTATCGCCATGCGGCTGACGGCAGCTGTATTCCCGTCTGTGATCACTGCGAGAACGGACAGTGTATCAAGCCAGGGGTGTGTAGCTGCAATGAGGGCTACGCGAAAGTGGAGGGACGTTGCGATCCTGTCTGCGATCAGTACGTAATAATTTCATTTCATTTAACATGTAGAATCACAGTTACAGTTACACGCTCAGAATTACCAATATCCTTATTTCTCCTCCTCTCAAACAGACCCTGTAACAATGGCCGTTGCATTGCGCCCAACACTTGCGAATGCGCCCCGGGATACGATTGGGAGCGGAAGAGTGGACAGTGTGTGCCGCACTGCGATTTGCCCTGCTTGAACGGCGTCTGCATCGGGCAGAATAAATGCGAGTGTAAATTGGGCTATGTCGTGGATGAGCGCCGGCCGAATCTCTGCCAGCCGCATTGCCCTCAGGGCTGTCCCAATGGCTATTGCAGCGCGCCCAACTTCTGCATCTGCAAGCCGGGCTTCATCAAGAGCGGCATCAAGGGACGCCAGAGCTGCCAGCCCGTCTAACTAATTGGATTTGTCATCGTGCATTTATTTCCATTTTATCCATTTTTGATTTGTTATTTAAGAACTACGACCAATTAAACAGACGGCCGATTAAAGCATTAAACTCGTACTTCATGTCTTCATTGAGCTCTGTACGCTGCTGCCAGCTGCTCAGCTTCCGTTCAATATGTTGTGGCTCCAGGCACTGGCCGACGTAGTGCGTCTGTCCAGCTGGACAAACGCAGTGGCCATGGGCATCGCAGCTGCCATTCAGGCAGTGCTGTTCATTTGGAACACAGCCGCAGACATTGGGCGACAGACATTTGCCATAGTCCCCGCAGGAGCTGCAAGAGATCAAATTATACTCAATGTTACTCCAAAGCTAATAATATTTAATGATGAGCATATCCCATTTTGGAACCAGACATCTTTAGCAGTATTAAAAGTGGAACACTGAGTGAATATTTTAAAAACAATTTAATTTAATTTTAGGAATAATTCATTAATGATTTTAAAATATTTTTTTTTGAAAATCTATATAGGATTGGCATGAATATTTAGATTTAGAAAAGAAAACTGTGCTTCATTAGTTTATTATCCGGACTGTGTCTAGTTACAAAACAGTTGACTAGGAGAGAGATAGTTAGAATTAGTCAAACACTTGTTTTATATTTGTTACTTAGATTTACCTGTCGCACTTGGGCTCACAGCTGTTGCCGCGCAGCTCGTAGCCCTCGAAGCAGCGGCAGATGCCAGGCGCAATGCACACTCCATTGCCACGCCCACAGTCGTCCGGGCAAACTGGAAGGCAGCTGGTCGTATTCTCATCATATTGATAGCCCGTACGACAGTTGCATTTGAAGCGGGACTCACAGAAGCCATTCTCGCAGTGTCTGTGAAAGAAAGAATCGATATGGAAATGGAGCAGGTTGGCTTTTATGATCCGCTGAGACGTACAGATAGCATTCGGCCTCGCAGACGTTGCGCTGTCGTCGCTTGATGAAGCCCGGAATGCATTCGCATTGATTGGGCGCCACGCATTTCCCGTAGCCACAGTCCGGCGCACAGATGGGCTGGCAGCCCAGCTCTGGGCTATGTCGATAGCCCGGCAAGCACTCGCACTTATCGGGCGCCACGCACTGCTCATGCGTGCCACAGCCCTTGGGACAGCGAGCGCGGCAGAAGAGGCGAGTCTCTGGATCCAGAATGTAGCCCGGCTGGCAAGCACAGGTGCCATTCAGATAGCAGCGTCCATGCTGGCAGGCGATCGGGCAGGTGTGTATGCAAGCGCCCTGCTCGTTGCGCACAAAGTCCGGGAAGCATTCGCACTGGCCCGTGACGCGGCAGAAGCCGTTCCGGCAATTGTCCGGCGTATTGAGCCCACAATCCGGCACACATTGCCCGCTATGCGGATCTGTTCGATAGCCAGCGCAGCACTGTTCGATGCGCTGGAAAAAGATGCTCGAGCCATTGCCACGCACCGGCTGATTCTTGTTAGTCTGAAAGAAGATGGCACTGCGACAATATTATTGGCCCTTATTGCTTCTGTTCCCCCAATTTGGCAGCACCGGTTGACCTACTTACGGCAGTTCGCGCTGACACAGATTCGTGTGCGTTAGACTTAGTGCCTCAAATTCGGAAGCTGTGTGTATATCGCCATACAGCTCCGATCCCGCTGCCAAGCCCAGCAGCATCAGCGGAGGCAGCACTTCAGTCCACTTCCATTTCCATTTGCAGTGCATTTCTCGCGTTGTTTACTTCTACAGCTTCTTGAATCGAATGAGCGCAGTGATTTAGATTCAGCGCCTTATCAGCTAGCGTAGAGAAACAGAGCGAGCGAGAGAGAGAGAGAGAGAAAGAGAGGCTTTGCGATAACTACAAATAAACTTTAGGCTTTTTCAAAAGTATTCATCAAATAGAAAATATAAATATGTTTCTCATTTGAAAACATTTTGGCTTAAACTGATTAAGAGTTTTTCAAGTACATTTTGCAGTCGGGTAGTCCCAAGAGTGCTCTAAATTATTTCGAATAATAAAATCTTTGAATATAATATTTCAATAATATTAAGTGCGCCCGCATATATTTTGCAAAAAATTCTAAAATGAATTACGTTTTTGACCCTGGTCTTATTTATTGGTTCAATAGTCAGCAGTTCCCTATTTACAGATAAATTGCTCCATGCTATGGTTTTATAATTACCATACATATGAGTAAACCAAAAAATACTCGATATGGGCAGTCGATTTCTGCATATAAAAGCAAAGCGCTGAGCGATTCTTCTTTAGTTCCCCAACTGAAATTGTGAGCAAATAGTTATAATAAAAAAATAAATAAATATATAAAATGAAGTGTTTGCTGGTTCTGGCTCTGGGCTTTACCTATCTCATAGCAGAGCGTGCGATCGAAACAAACCCCAACAGTGCATGCAATCCGGAATGTGGACCAAATCAAAAGTGTTACAACAGTCAATGCATTTGTGACGATGACTCGGACAATTTCAATTGTACGAAGTCAACGGGGAACGAGACGGTGAAGTGTCCAACTAAATGTGGCTTAAATGCCGAATGTGTTGGTGGTTTTTGCCTTTGTATGATAGGCTACTACGAAGAATTCATAGACAGTGCCGACTGCATTCCGAGTATTTGTCCAAACGGCTGTGGCGCAAACGATATATGTTTTCACAGTGAATGTATATCCAATGAGGAGCTTGATGATTATCCTAATACTACCAACAATACTACCATAACAATAGCACTACACACAAAAAGCACCTCCACCACCGAGAGCACCATTGCTACCAACGGCACTACCACTACGAATAGCACTACTGCCACAAATAGCACAACCACGACCAATGGCACTAGCACTACCGATGGCACCATCACTACCACAACACCGACACCTACACTAATACCAACAGCTAAGCCAAAACGGGCGGGTCTCCCTCTTTGGTCTCTCGTGGCAGGTTTTTTTCTGTTAGGTTCTTTTCTGATTTTCGGCGGCTTCATGCTGTATATAAATAAATATCGAGGTAGTTACAGTCCCACGCCCACACAGAGAGTATAAAAATATTCATTTGGAAATTGTAATATAAATAGGAATAGAATAACGTGGTATTCTCTGTTACTAATAGTACTCCCTGAAGACTAATAATATGAATAATACATATAGTAAAATTTGTTCAAAATCATACAAACTGATTCATACGAAATAATTCACAGTAGTATTTGCGACAGAGAGCTTGTTCTTAAAACTAAACGGAGTCACACGTTTATTCTTCTGTTAGAGGAACTCTATGTACCATAAAAAAAGCCGCTGTAGAACTGTTGGCAATATCTGCGGCAATATATACTCGACAATCACAAAAATATAAAAAAAATATTTTGTACTCATTATTGTTTTTATTTATTTTTTATGTAAGTTACTCATATAAAAGACATACAAATTGTTTACATATATAATTTTATAATTATTTTCTTACTTTCTTTTTTTCTCATGTGAAAATAAAATTTTGCCTGTCGGATTCACAAATGGGCAATTTTATGGGCACCTATCTGGGTGGGCACTTGCAGGAAGTTGGCATTTTGTGGCGGAATGATCAAGTGGGAGACATGTGAGCCGCCGTTGGTGGTGCTGGATGTGTGCTGGTGGTGCAGCTGTCCATTGCTAGGGCGCATTGGCGGCGGCGGTGCCAAAAAGGCAGTTGCAGTGGTTGAATGCTGATAACGGGACGGCTGCGAGGCATGTGACTGTGGCTGGTGTGATGGATGTGAATGATGTTGATGCAGTGGATGGTGGTGCTGCATCTGCTGGTGTTGCTGCTGCTGCTGTTGATGGTATCTAATCTCATCGTACAGATGCGAGTCGAGGCTGCCTTTGCGGGACTTGGGCGAAACAACTGAATAGAGAGACTCCTTGCGCGCATAGGCATAGGGCTGAGTTATAATCGAGGAGTTATTGCTGGGCGTGTCATATATATCAGGCAAAGATGCTGAAAAGGAACGTTCGATTAGAGTGTTTTGCTTTGCAGTGTGGCTAATGCGATAAATAGCTTGAGAGATGAATGCAATACATTTCATTCGACTACATCTTTAAATTAACTTATCAAACTAAAAAAAATTGAGAAAACTCTTCAAATGCGCGGCTATTTATAGACTTTCAAACGAGCAGCACTGCATAAATATTATGAGCAAACATCTCCTGACTCAAGCTACCTAACGAACCGCCCTCGAGACAGGCGGGGCGACACTTACATACCCTCGTTCGGTTGGGTTTGATTTGTGGTGGGCAAGATGGCCGGCGGCTTGGGCAGCGGTCCGTGAAAGATCTTCCCCGTGTCACTGATCACAACTTCCGGATTGCCATGCCCATGTGGCTGGGCGCTGCTGAACGTGCCGTTGGCATTGTAGACGACGGCCTCCTTCTGCAGATGCTGACGCCGATAGACGTAGAGGAAGCCCAATACGATGACGATCATCAGCATGAGCAGCATTACGATCAGTGTGCTCAGTAGGCTGGAGTCGTGGTCGTGAGCACTGCGACTCGGATTACTGTCGCCGGCAGCAAAGCCAGCCAAATTCAACTGAGGTGCCCGATCCTGAGTGGCGGCAACGCCACCTGCACTTGTGATCACATGGATGACCTCGGGTGTGGGCACTCCAGCGGCAGCGGCTGTATGCAGATTCTCGAGCAGAGCATTGCTCGACTCGTGCAGGATGATCTTGGGCGTGTGCGCCGACTCCTGCACGGGCTGCTTGATCAATATGACCTCCGGCAGAGCGCTGGGCGTCACCTGGACGTGACTGCTCTCGGACATGCTGCCAATGCTCTTGGCAATATTATTTATATTATGCGTTAGATTCGCCATGGTCGAGTTGATAGTCTCCAGCACAACATGATTGACATTGACAGCCTCTACAGTTTCTGGGCCCAGACATTCGCCCGTCTGCGGATGACAGCGCTTCTCTGGGCACTCGCAAACCTTGCGGCACATGACGCCATGGGTGCCCACAGGACACGGTTGCTCGCAGCTGGAACAAGGTGAAATGCATCGTACATTAGACTAAGCTTAAAGAGAAGCCTGTGTTTTATTAGAAATTCTCGTGCACTGAACACAATTTCCCTGTAAATGCTTTGCACGATATGAACTCACAATTGTCCAGCCCAACCGGCTATGCAATGGCATCCTCCTGTTTTATTATCGCAAACAGCATCGTTTTGGCATTGGCACGGATTCTTGCACTCGAGTCCCCAGCGATCATGATCACAGCCTGTGGAGAGACAACGCGAATGGATGGCATTTCGAATACTTCTTCAGCTCTTTACTCACGCTGTGTGCAGTGCTTGCCGGTGTAGCCCTCCTCGCAGCTGCATATGTCGGGCATTATGCAATTGCCACGCCCACAGCCACCGCGACAAATGGGACGGCAGCTGGCTTGACTATCCGAGAGATTGCCCTCATAGCCTTGGCAGCAAAAGCGAACTGTGCGCGTTTTATTTAATCTCTGAAAGAGGAGCAGAGCAAGCGGAATGCAATGAGAGAGAGAAAAATTATTATTAGAAAGAGAGAGAGAGAGGGAGAGAGAGGGAGAGATAGAGGGAGACAGAGGTGAGAAAGAGATTGAGAGGGAAAGAGAAAGTAGTCGTGAGTAACAAGCAATAGTAGATTTTCTTAAGGTATTTAAACATTTTTGTATTCTTATCTGAACTATACATGTATATTTACTGGTTAAAAAATGGAAAAATATAAATTAATTAAAGGTGGGACCCCTAAACTCTGGAGAAATTTATCTGTGCCAAATACGAATGAAAAGAGCAACGATGAAGATGAAAACGATGTTGTTAAAATAGCAAGAGCTTCATTGGATAACTTACAAACCTTTGGCCTACAAAACGAAACTCAGCATATCAAGCAATTTTTCTCGTTAGAAAATTATTGAAGAGTCTGAAGCAGCAAAATGCTTCGAAGCGAATGAGTTGTGTTTAATTATGAATATGTAAAATATCAGCAGTTAAATAAAATCCCTTGATAGCTCGAAGTTTTATTTATTTTCCCTCAAAAATTTCAAACCGTTAAATACTCCAAGCATTCGATAGTTCGTAATATTTTAAGAGTCCCTCGAGTTTCGAAATAACAAGAGTCGATTGTATATATTAATATACATAAATATATAAAGCATGTACATATGTCCATGGGTGGTCAACAAGGTTTGCAACTTAAGAAAAATATACGTATGTTTTTTTGACAAATATCACTATTTTATTATTTTCCCTTTTTTTTTAACCTTAACTTCACTTGATTTTGTGAATTATGTATATCATATAAAATATATATATAATTAAAATATAAATATTTCAACAACAGCCATAGTACTTCATAATTTATTCTAAGACGTTGGGCTTTAAACAAATTTGGTGTCATAATAATGACTCATATTATTTTGTAAATGATAAGCTCAAGAAATATTACGGCTTCAAGAATATTTTGCATATATACATAAATATATATAAAAACATACGAATATTATCAAAGACCGCTTCCTGTTGGCTTTACAAATTAATATGACATTGCGTTGGCAAAGTTTTGAGCTCGGAGCTCAGTTTGCAAACCGTCTGCAAACGCGCAGCACTTACAGTAATTCATTTATTTCGTAAATATTATATGCAAAAAGAAATAAATTCGATATAGAAAATGCAACGTTTCAAGCGCTCGACCTTACTCTGCTGCAGCTGGCTGCTGTTGCTGTTGATGCTACATTTTGCCAGTGCTGAAGTTGAGACATTCCACGTTGAGATTGCTCTCATGACATCGACTTCAGAAGGATATGGCTCAACCGAAAATATGGGCTATCCAACAGAGCCAATAGGCTTCTCAACAGAGACAAATCCAGATTTTTCAACGACAACAACAACAACAACGACCACAACCACTGAGCGACCTAAGCCACCCAAACCACACAGATTATGGGAAATAATTATTGTGCTCGTCATTCTAGTTATTGTCATATTGTTGGTCATACTCGTTTATAAATTAAAGAACAGCCGATCGTATGATGTGTAAATATTTAAAAGATAAGGAGTAATATCCAATATTATACTAATATACAAAATATATTGTTTTAATTGTGTTTTAATTATTATCAAATCAAAAATATATATGTATATATTTGATGTATATATATTTTTTTCTTTTTATATATGTTTAAGGAAAGTTAATATATGCTATAACACTACTATAATAGAAATACATATTCTATGAAAAGTTTTTTAAAGTAAGTAAAACATGTGTATACAAAATTCCTGTATACATTTAAAATATATATATGGAAATTTATGAAAATAAGTAAATATTATTAATATACTTTTGTTTTCTTATTCTTCTGTAAATGAAATATCAATTCCAGTTTTAAATCTAAAAGAAAGATTACATATTTAAGCTTTTTTTTATATTTTAATAAGTGTAGAAGCGGTACATTAAAAATAAAACTATAACAACCCAGGCAAGGTAAATTAATACTAAAGCCGAACCCCATACCGAGTTATGGAGATTTCAAGCATATTTAAACTGTCTAAAAGTACTCCACACATATCTCTCTAAAAATATTCCGCCCTACAATATGCAATATGTTTTAACAAATGGAGTTTGTTGAAATTTAAGAAAAAGAGACCCTGATAACCGAATGAAAGTTCGCTTTCAAATTTATGGGGAATTCATATATTTCTCGACCGAATCATTATTGTTTAACTCTCTATACTGTTTAGAAACATTACAAAGCGGAGGACTAAATTTGTAATATGTAGCTTGAATAAGTTATTGAGGATAAATGAATAAATTTATTTATTATTTAAGTTCCCTTGGATATAAATTATTTTAACTATTTTAATACAATGAAATGTCCAACAGCATTCCTAATTCACATGATTCATAAGTAGTTGCAGCTCCTCAGAATCACACTTTATTCACTCAATCATCATATTTGGACTCTGATCTTCAATAAACTCATCATTATAGAATGCTACCGTACGTCTTCTTCTTCTTCACGCACACACACTCAATGTCAACTCGTTGAGCTTTGTAATGTTGAGCATTACAAAAAGGGCGTAAGTGCTGATTATGATCAATCTGAGAGATGCACACAAGACCACGCCCACATACACACACATACATACAACCACACGCACATCCCTAGAGTTGTCAATTTAATTGAATAATCCGCAGCGTTTCTCACAATCATTTGCTGAGTGTCCCGAAGCATTCGCAGTTATTCATTCATTCACTCAAAATTCCGGAGCAAACTTCAGCATTGTTCTCTCGCCCTCAGTTGATCAATCTGTGACTATATGCATCTGTATCTGTATCCGTATCTGTCACAGTGACTGTCTATGTGCTCAGCATAAATTAATAAGGCGGAAATTTTAATATAAATGCAGATAAATACGTGTTCTTTCAGTTTCAGTTCCATTGTAGGCATAATTAAGTACAGCCTTTCCTCGAATTGTTGCCCGCTCTGTGCGTACAGCTCATGCGTGCAGCACTTGCCTAGGTAATTGAATACATGTTTAGCAATAAATTTTTACATATGCGAGAGCTCATATTACGGCCACAACTCGTACAGCTTCCAAGCTCTGGTCTCTGGTCTCTGGTAACCCCAGACCCAGCCCCTGCCTCTGCCTCTGCCTCCGCCCCCTTGAAATAACTGTCAACTGTCAGATTCGCATCAATCATCGTGGCGCCTACTTTTCATTTAAATTTATATAATTAACTTGATTTTTTTTCTCTAGTCGCATTTGTATTTGTGAAAATCTTTCGGCACTTGGCCAAACTTAAATCTTAAATCTCTACGCATTTTTCCCACTTTGAAACACGTTTCTCATCGTGTCATGTGGCTTAAATGGCTTTTTGGCAAGCCAGAAGCGAGTTTTGTTTCATGTTAATTAATTAAACGCAATTGGCAATTAGCAACTAGATGTACTTATACATATGCACATACCTACATAGGTAAGTATCTTTTTCCAAGTCTATATTACTCGTCTATTTTGGACTATCTGCAATTGCCGTTAGTCCGAAAGGAAGCCCATTACGATACAGTTTTCCTTATAAAAATAAACTAAATAGATCGAACAAGTCTCATCTCTGTTTTTGTATATTAACTCAGATTACACAAGTGT